TCAGCCCGACGTTTACCCCAAGACGCCTATTGAGCTCTAGCACCCCCATAATTATCCTAAAGACATTAAGGCAACACTGCCCGGGAAAGAGGTGGAAGTGAGAGAGGAACTGGAGAAGCAGAGGGGGCAAAGGGAACCTAATTCCGCCTTCTATAATGGCTTTAATATAAAAAGGCATTGCACCCTCGGTACCGAGGATACGAGGGTGCACAGCCGCATCGTAATCCTCTATCTCTACATTCGGTGGAACGCCATACCTAACCCTAAATCTATCAATTTGTTCACTACCTTTTACTTTATATTTTTCCGGCCTCGAGGTACTAGCCTGAGGGTTCTCGGGTGCAGAACGACGATGAGGCATGTTCAAGAAGTGATAAAAATAGAGGGGGTTTTTTTCCACGAAGATCCCCAAGAAAGCTTCCCGGGGGTCGATCACTGGATGGCAACCAGAAAACACCTCCGGTAACCAGAAAATCAAAAGAGACAGAAGGGCAAAGAAATGGAGGATACTGGAACTCACCAGAGCGTAAGAAGAGGTTTTTTCTGGAAAACTTGAATCGATTCCTTCCCAGAATGTTCAGAAACAAAGGACGGATCTGCTTGCTTTGAAGCTTCAGTGAAAAGGTTGGACAGTTAAGAGGCAGAAGAGAAGAGGTCTCCGGCGAAGATTCAGACAAGGGCTCTCTAGAAGAAAAGTTCAGAATGACGAAATGAGGAAAAGAGGGAGGAAGCCCATTTATATAGTACCGGTCTCATCATTGGGCGCGAAACACGAAAGGGCGCATTTAATGCGCACGACTCCCTAAGCGAGGGAAAGCGGCTAGAGGCAATGATGAAGCAGTTGAGGTTGTTGGGAAACTCTTCGTCTCCTTACGACGCGTGTCCTCGGCGTCAGAAGATCAAAGGCTGGGGGACAGTTGATGAGACTTTTCTGAAATACTCCAAGATGAAGACATGTGTCCTCGGGCGTCACTAAAATCCTGTTAACTGAGATCACGTACCATCGGCTTATAAATCCCTCGCCCCGAGGTGTTTGATGCGTGTCGAGTACGTTTTGCGAACCGACACGTATCCCTCGGTCTAATATGTACCTCGGTCTGTATTGTACCTCGGTCATCATGAACGACTTCCCTCGGCTCGAGATGTACCTATCCTCGGTACCGAGATGTTCATTACCTCGGTACCGATATGTACCGTCCAAGATGCCTTTTTTCTCTGCTCCAGTATAAGTTATTGATGTACAGGTCACTAGCCTAGGCTAGTCTAGGTTAGCTATCATGGTCTCGTCTTACACAAATTAGTGTCAGAGGGAACAGGAAGGCGGGGTCCACAGCCAATAAAGGATGGACGCGTGGCAAATTGTGTCACATCAGAGACAGAAAGACCGCATGCCCTTACTGACACGCGACTTGGGAAAGCAAACATTTAATTACACAATTCCATTGATGAGACCGCATTCAATGCGGTAAGGCTCGGAATTGAAAGGCAATAAATGTCTTTAAGGCTGGGCATTTATTGCATCCTCCCCGAGCGGGGATCATCAGATAGTCGGTAGCCCGATGACACAGCATTGATTGCTCGGCTCCCCGAGCAGTTAAAGAAAGGAAGACATTCCTCATCAGAATCAGTGCGCACACTGCCAGTACCTAATGATCATCTACTGACGACACTGACAGCAATCATGAGCTTTTGAGGTATAAATACTCCTCATAAAAGGCAAAAAGGTATGCAACAAGAAACTCTTTACTACGAGAGATACTCAGTGCTTTCTTCCTCCTCTCCCTTTCAAAAGCTGACTTGATCGTCGGAGGGGATAAGCCGGAAAACACTCTGGCGCCCTTCTAACCTGTTCTCCTTTGTTCCAGGAACCTTTTTCCAGCCTTACTGGATCATCCCTTCAGTTCACGAGGGTCTCCCGTTACCGTTCCAGGTCACCACCGGATCTCACAGGCTGTCCCAAGCAGCGTGGTTGGTCACTCAGCTGACTCACTCGAGTTCACCAAAGGAGAGATCTGTTCTCGTTTTTTATATTGTGCAAGATCCTACACGCACACCAAACACTTGTGACATTCATCATATCAAATGAGTCATTAAATTATTCATAATGAGCATTATTGTATTTACTTAGTGTAGATATATCACTCTAATAAATTTTTTAATGTCAAAAATATTATAATAACTCTTCATTTTACCAATATTTTCATGTTACTATTAACTCCACAATATGTGATGTAAGATAAACGAAAAAAGTCATATCAACGTGTCTTTCTTTTTTGAGTGATAGGAATTTGTTTGAACACTCACACGTGGGTAGATCATTTGCACAGAGTTCCATCACTGTTCAATAAGCTTTCTCAGCAGGCACTCATCGAGTGATTTTTGATTTTCCTGACAAATTCGAGTTCACCAAAAAAGAGATTTATTATCATATTTATTGTGCTAAAATTATCCCGTAAAATAAACATACATTTAAGATGTATATACACACACATATGTATAGAGAGGGAACCAAAATGAGATTATGACTCAATCACACGAGACTATAGCTAAGTGGAATCACTTGAATTCAATCTTAAAATGTGTCATGATGCATCTTAATTTTCTGAGTCATATCTTTGTTTGTAATTAGAGACTCTTTAAATTCGTACCTTTAACGAATGAGTAATGATATACAAATTTAAAAAATAAATTTAATAATTTTAATTATTGAATAAGTAGTAAGTATTAATAAATGTTAAAATTCTTTGTAAAATTAATGATTATAATTATTAAATTTAATTTTTAAATTTGTACAAGAGAGCTCAGAGCACAAGGGCTGTCTCTCTCGCTCTCTCTCTCTGTCACAGCATGGGACCACACGCTTTCATCAATTGCAAGAAATAAAGTCATGGGACCACACGCTTTCATCAATTGCAAGAAATAAAGTCATGGGACCACACGCTTTCATCAATTGCAAGAAATAAAGTCATGGGACCACACGCATTCATCAATTGCAACCGCGTGTGGTGTGGTGGTTTTAAAAGTATTTAGTTTTCTTTTTTAGGAATAATTACAATTTACAAATTGCCCCCTCCAAGTATGTGCTAACTTGCAATTAAATCCTTATGATTTCTATTTTAACAAAATCATCATTCGAAGTTTAGCTTTTTTAAAATATTAATTTAGTACTAATAAATATTTTTGTGTAATCTGAGGATGAGGTTGTAGGTGTTGGTTTTGATTGGAGAGGGTTAAAAGTGAAGTAGGAGGTACGAGTAATATTATTTGAATTAAAATTTTAACATCATTTGTTGATTTGACAATGTGATTTCATTGAAAGAAGGATAAATTTTAATGTTTGATGGATGGGATCTACAATCAATTTAAAGGTCATCAGGTCAAGTCAAATTTTTAGATCCAAATAACATTTTTCGATGAGATAGATGTGATGCTTGGGTGAAAGTGGAGTAGCGATGTTGGGTTAGAGAGAGGAAGTTTTTAATTTTTGAGTATTAAAAATAAAAAATAATGTTACATGAACTTAAAAAATAAATTTAAAAATTAGCCTTAATCAATGGTTATAATTGATCAAGTCTATATTTTAAGTTCAATTTTAAGTCAAAAAAAAAGACTGCAATTATGGATGATTTTTTAATTAACCTCATTTTTTGAGGGTAATCGCACTAACTAAGTGTTATTTAAGTTAATGGTAAATTCAAGTTTTACGTGGGTAGAATAATCCAAAAATCTGTGGTCGACTATTCAATCACTTAATAAATCCATACGCACTATTTTACAACTGCAGAAAAAAATGGAAGCAAACCACCTTGACAACATGCAAAATTAGTTGGTTATACTTATAACAACAGATTTTCACAACTTCACGGTCAAAAGAAAATTTCCACATATATATGAACGACACAAAAGAATTATAATATAGGACAATACATTTAATTGACTTTAAAATAATAAAAGGATTAATAATATTTTTGGTCCTAAAATATATATTTTTTATTAGTTTAATCTTTATTGTATCAATTTAGTCTTAAATAGATAATTTATAAAATTTTTGACAGAATAATCACGTAATTAATTTATCAATTTAATCCTTAATGTATCCGATTCGTTTGACAGTAGATAGATCAACTATATATTGATCTATATCTAGTTTGTTTGGTGAGTGTTAAGAGAGTATTCAAACAATCTTTGAACCTTGAGAGATCCGAGGCTTGTGAAAAAAGTGAAGAAAGAATGGCGGAGATTGCTGTTTCCTTTCTGATGACCACTAACACCCTTGCTTGCAAAAAGAGGCAGGACTTTTAGGTGGTGTTCGGGAAGAAGTTGTGCCCATCAAAGATGAATTGGATCGCATGAAGGCCTTCTTGAGAGTTGCCGATGCCAAAGAAAAGGATGATAAACAACTCCAAGTTTTGGTTGAGCAACTGCGAGAGGTTGCTTATGACACCGAAGACGTTCTTGATGAATTCATGCTCCGGTTGGCGCATCATCACGGGGATGGATTCTATGGTTTTCTCCATAAGATTGCTTGCTCTATTAAGAGCTTGAAAGCTCGCCATCAAATTGCTTCTAAACTACGAAAAATCAAAGCCAGATTTGACAATATTTCTAAGAGTCTTGAACCATGTAGAAACATTGAGCAAGGGTCGAGCTCTGCTGTCATTGGCGACACATGGAGTGATGGTCGAGGTGATGCACTTCTAATAGAAGAAGGTCAGCTTGTGGGCATCGAGGAGCCCAAAAAACAACTGATTGGTTGGCTTCTTGATAATGATTCTCCACTCAAAGTGGTTTCGGTGGTGGGAATGGGAGGATTAGGCAAAACCACACTGGTGAAGAAAGTCTTCGAGGATGAACAAGTAAAGGCACAATTCCAAAGCCACACTTGGATCACTGTTTCACAGTCATTCAACATGGTGGAGCTCCTAAAGAACATGATCAAAGAAATGAATATCACGAATAATAACAATGAGCTGACAGAAGTCATCCAAAAATTCCTCCGGAAACAAAGGTACGTGGTTGTTTTAGATGACGTGTGGAGCATAGGTGCATGGAATGGCATCAAGCATATATTTCCTAACAACAATTGCGGTAGCCGTGTAATCGTCACCACTCGTATACTTGATGTAGCAAAAACATCGTGCTTAGAATCCCGTGATTATATCTATGAAATGAAGGTCTTGTCTGATGAAAAGTCATGGGTTTTGTTTTGTAAGAAAACCTTCAAAGACAAAACTTGTCCTCCGCATTTAGCAAAAATTTCACGAGAAATATTAGGGAAGTGTGGGGGATTGCCACTCGCAATTGTGGTACTAGCGGTGTTTTGGCTTTGAAGGACACAAGCAGAATTGATGAGTGGGTGATGGTTCAACGGAATCTCGGCGGTGAACTAGAAGACAATGACAAACTTGAGAGGATAAACAAAATATTCTCTCTCAGTTATTTTTATCTGCCTGACTATCTCAAAATTTGTTTCTTATACTTGTGCATTTTTCCTGAGGATCACGAGATTGAAAAGGGGCAAGTGATTCGACTATGGGCTGCGGAAAGATTTGCACAAGAGAAAGAAAGAAAGTTGGCAGAAGAAGTAGCAGAGGGCTATTTCAATGAACTTCTAAATAGAAGTTTAATCCAAGTCATGGATAAAAAATTTGTTGGTAGACCAACAAGATATCGTATCCATGATCTTTTGCGTGACTTTATTATCTCAAAGTCGAGAGAGCTGAACATTGTAACTCTGGCCAGCGGAAAAGCAATATTGTGTCCACAAAAAGTTAGACGGCTAGCACTGCACAACTCCTCAAGAAATGTAGAAGAAAACAAGTGTTTTGAATGGCTTCGCTCTCTGCTCGTAATTGGGAAAGTAGGAGAGCTGTACAATTCATCCGTATCTTCGATCTTAAGAGGTGGTTCTAAGTTACTAACAGTGTTGGACTTAAGAGGTGTTTCTTTGGAGACATTCCCACCTGAAGTTTCTGAATTAGTTCTTCTCAGATATCTAAGCTTGAGGAATACAAAAGTGAGATTCATTCCAGGATCAATTGGAAAGCTTCGAAATCTAGAAACCTTGGATTTGAAACATACATTCGTAACAGAGTTGCCTATCGAAATAGGAAAGCTTCGGAAACTTCGATATCTTGTGGCTGATAATGAGGCTGTAGTCCCGGTGGAAATAGGGAATTTGTCATTCCTGCAAAAGCTCAGATCGATCTGGGCAGGCGAAGTCAATGGCAACATTATACTGAGAGAGGTGGGGAAACTTACCCAACTAAAATCTTTGAACATTTTTGGGTTGAAAACAGAAGACGGAAAGATCCTATGCTCGTCTCTTGAAAAACTGGGCAACCTCCGTACATTGCTTGTTTGTGCACGTGCACAAGCACGAGGAAAATTGAGTGAGTTTCAGTTGCTTGATCTAAAGACATTATCTTCGGGTCCTCCACTTCTACAAAAACTTTACTTGATTGGACATCTAGAGGAGACACCACATTGGATAGCTTCTCTTCATAGTCTGGTCTCGGTAAATCTAATGGGGAGCAAATTAAGGGATGACCACCTACTGCAATGGCTACAAGATTTGCCAAATCTCCAGCGTATGTCATTCCAATATGATGCGTATGCTGGGGAGGAATTATGTTTCAAGGCTGGAGGATTTGAGAGTCTCAAATATTTAGGTCTTTTCAGATTAAAAGAACTGAGATGGGTGAGATTTGAGCAGGGCGCCATGCTTCATCTTGAAGAGCTAGAAATTGGGCACTGTGATTTGATGGGGTATCCATTTGGAATCAAACATCTAACCAACCTTCGATCAATTGAGCTAGATGCATGGGATGACAGCAAATTTGCACTCATCCCTCTTAGGGATATCTGGAATTGGTGCTCAGGACAAAACCTTTGCATGGACGTCTTCGAATAAAAAGGAGAAGTTGAAATCACTGTCTCGTGGCTAGACTCGTGGTGGAGGTGGTGGTCGTGGTCTAGGCATTATGTTATAATTTTGGATTGATATCATCTAGTGATGTAATATTTGAAATAATATCAAGTTCTCTTGTTAAATCACTTATTACCATGTGCAATATTTGGTTAAGCCTCTACTTCAAATTTGTTTTTCTCTTTGGCTAAAGATCTTAAGCTGTCAAAATTGATAGTCTCTCAACCAAATTTGCTTTGATTAAATGGACAATTAATTCAAATCTTGCACGATGCTTCTCCCTCGATAAGATGGTATTCGTGATCAATGTGTTCTTCTCCATACAATCCATGAACACCACCAATTTCTCAAGCTCACCATAGAACCAATGCCGCCAGTTGTTATGGTACTTATTTATTTATTTATTTGGGCGGGTAAGTTATGTTTGAACATTATTAATCAACCAAAGCATGTAGAGGAATAATAGAGCAGACCTTCTAACTCCAACCGAGTCCTTAGGTATACATATCTTTAGGCCACAAAAAAAAAAAAAAAAAAAAAAAATTCAATGCAATAATTGAAAATTTCCCCATTAAGATCTAAACATCACTGCTAAGAAATTAACCTAGCATCGAAAATACCCCATTGAAAGCTTAAAATCCAATGCTTGTGTGTATTGCTAAGTTCTCTCTATTAAGCAGCTTTTATTCTAACAAAAGCCCGAAAAGCCTTTTAATTTCTCTCGGCCCAAGTTCCTCACTATAGAAAGAAATGATTATATTTTTCAAGTAAGGACGTTAATTGAGTCGAGTACTGTGAGTTTGAACTCGAGCTTGTCGAGTTCATTTTTTTAAACTGAGTCTAAAAAATTGTTCAAATTTAATATTTTTAAAAAATGACCCGAATCCTAGCCCCCACGCTCGGGCCAAACCCAAGTAGTTCGACTATTTACATATAAACAAGTCGAGTCTTTCAGACTCATTTTTCTAAACCAACTTAAAAAATTGTTCATGTTTAGCTCATTTAAAACCCGAGTCAAATCCGAGTAGTTTGTCTAGATTAACATCTCCTGATTTTCTAGTGCGAGATTTGCTTTGTAGGATTGGATAGGATTTGGGAGGTGAGATTTGGCAAAATAGTCCAACAAGCCTGTGCGTGCAAGATCCTGCACAATATAAAAAATATTGGGAACAACTCTCTCCCCTGGTGAACTTTGAGTGAGCCGGTTGAGTGGCCAAACACACTGCTTGAAACAGCCTACAAGGAACGGTGGCAACCTGGAACGGCAAAGGAAGATCCTGGGAAAGGAAGAACGATCCTGTATGTGTGAAAGGTATTTCCTGGAACAAAGGAGAACAAGTTAGAAGGGCGCCGGAGTGTTTTCCGGCGTATCCCCTCCGACGGTCTAGTCAGTCTTTGAATGAGAGAGAGAAAGGAGAAAACACTGATAAGGATATTTTGTAGTAGTGAGTTTGTGATTGCCCCCCGGCTTTGCCTTTTGGGAGGAGTATTTATACCTTAGAAGCTCATGATTGCTGTCAGTGTGGTCAGCAGGTGATCATCAGGCACAGGTAGCTTGTGTATTGATTTGATGAGGAATGTCTTCTCTAATTGATTGCTCGGGGTCCCGAGCAATCAATTCTGAGCCGTCGGGACGCCGACGGTACAATATGATCCTTTCGGGAAGGATGCAATAAATGCTCTGTAATAGGAGCATTTATTGCCTTTCATATCCGAACCTTACCGCATTGAATGCGGTCTCGTCAACAGAAGGGTGCAATTAATTTGTTTGCTTTCCCAAGTCGCGTGTCAGCGACGGCATGCGGTTTGTCTGCTTCTGATGTGATATTATTTGCCACGCGTCCATCCCTTATTGGCTGTGACGTCGGTATTCCAGCGTGTTCTGACATTACTTGTGTTAAGACGAGGTTATGATGAATAGTCCAGACTGGCATAGGCTGATGTCCCGTACGTCAGTAGCTTTATCCGGGAGTAGAGAAAGCGTCCAGGATGGAGTGACCCTCGGCACCGAGGAAAGACTCACCTCGGGTGACCCAGAATACGCCTTTTCTGATCTGCTCGCCGGAGTTTTTGTTTTCTCAGCCATCGTCGACAGCGTTTTCTCTTAAAATCACAGCCAGTAAACCCATTGTTGACTCCTGGTCTTTCCGGTGCGAGTCATTTTAAAGTTTTTCCTGAAAAACTCCGTTTTCGACGTTTTCGGGTGAGTTTCACAACCTTCTTCTTTATCGTCCTCCTAGCCTTTTTGTTTTCCGATTGAACGGTGGTGTCATCCGGTCGGTACGTCTTGATTTAAACCCTCGGGGAACTTCCTCAGGTTTTCAAGAGAGAACACCTTTTCCTTCCCTTTCTTTTAGAGATGCCTCGTCGTCGCCCTGCTCCCGAGAATCCATCGGCTGGTCCCTCGGGGTCAGGGAAATACAAGGTGACAGGCGAGGCGCAGATCGATAGGTTCAGGGTTAAGTATGGCATCCCCCCGAGCGTGGACGTAGTGGGCTTTAACCCTTTGTTGAACTCTCCTACCTTCGGGGCCGCGGATGCCATGCCTTTCTATACCAAGGCCATCATAGAGGGTGGAATTAGGTTTCCTTTACCCCCCCTGCTTCTTCAGTTCCTGTCTCGCTTCCGTCTCTTCCCCGGGCAATGCTGCCTCAACGTCTTTCGAATAATTATGGGGGTCCTAGAGCTCAATAGGCGCCTCGGGGTGAATATTGGGCTCAATGATCTCCTTTTCTGTTACTCCCTCCTAAGAGTCATGCCTCACCAACATTTCTACCTCAAAGCCAGGGACCCCTCCATGTACCTTGTAACCCATCTTCCTGATTCGGACAAGGGGTACAAGGACGACATCTTGATCTTCAAGGGATGTTGGGAGAGGGGTGTTGGTCCCGAGTACAATGACTTATTTTGCCCTCGGGAATGGAGAACGACAAGTACGTCGGTTCCTTCGGGTTCTTTATTTGTTTCTTGGGACTTCTCATGTTTATGACAATCTTTTTTGTTGTGCAGATATTCCTTCTCGGGAAACAGCTCCACCCCCTCGGTCGCTGGTCAACTTTGCCGACCTAGTAACGGTTTGGAGTTTCACGGGCGCCGACGGATTTGGCCGAGCTGCCCATAATCTGCTGCACTATACCCCCGGGTACAAGAAGTTCTCACAGCTCCCTCAACCTTTCGAGCCTTCGCAGTGGTCAGAGCTCTTTGATCAGGCGGCGAGGCTAGAGGTCGAGCAGAACTTGGAGGAAGACCCGGATCGGGCTTCAGAGGGAGAGGTAGAGGGAGTTGCTGAGGAGGTCGGGGTCAGAGAGGACGTTGCTCCTTCGGACGCCGAGGTGGGGACTTCGGGAGGCGACTTGTGGCCCGATTTTCAAATTCTCCAATCTTTGGACGCCGAAGACGCTCTCGAGGAAGCGATGTCCAACGCCCCTCGCATTAATTTGGGGTTTCTTAGGCAGAGGCAAACCCTCGCAGCCGGGAGAGGTCGAGGGACGACCGGCGGTACTCCGGCAGGAACCAGTTCCGCCAATTCTTCGAGGGCTCCCGGTCAGGGTCAGGTGCGAGACCGGGATCCTCAGGTGGAAGAGGAGAGAAGGGTCAAGCATCGGCATGACGGCCTCAGCCGGGGACCCAGGGCACCTCCCGCTCAACCTCAAAGCGGGAGGGATCGTGGATTACCGCCTGCTCCCCCACAACAGCAACAACAACAACAGCCCCGACAACAGCAACAGCAGCAGCAGCAGCAACAGCAGCAGACTACTCCTTCCCTCCCATCCTCAGTGGAGGCCGCGGTGTGGAATCCTCGGGCCACTGATCACATGAACCGAGTGATCAGGGTCGACGATTCCATTCTGCAGGATCCCCATGTCGCCCATGCAGTGAGTGAGACATTGCATTTTGAGGCTGACATGGAGGCTCATCGGGGGCGATCAACCAACGTGTTGTTCCGCTCCATGATCCAGAATTCCCTGGTGGTGAGTTTATTCCTGTTTTGATCCCTTCACTCTCGTTTTCTATTTTTGTGTTTTAACACTCTTTCCTTCCTTTACAGGCTACCCAGCAGATTTCTATCATTGCTGGCCGGTACCACGCGTCCAGGATGGACCTTCAGAGGGCCAAGGATCAGAAGGCGGAAGCGGAAGCTGCCCTTGCTCGGGCAACGGAAGATGTTGCTGCCAGGGATTCTACCCTGGTGGGGCAGGCTGCCCAAATAGAGCAGCTCCTCAAGGACGCTGAATCGGCCAAGTTGGGCGCTGAGAAGCTAAGTGCCGCACTTGCCGATGCTGAGAGGAGGATTACTGAGCAAACGCAGCGGCTCTCTGCTGCGGAGGAGAGGGCAGTGGGCTCCGAGGAAAGCTGTCTGGCCCTTACCCAGGAGCTAGACAGGATCAGGGCCGAGGAGCTGAACCGGAAGTCAGAGGAACAACTCCTGGAGGAGTTTGCCGATGACGTGCTCCCCGCTCTTGAGGAAAACAGCAAAGAATTCTTCAAGAAAGGATGGGACGAGGCACTCCAGGCTGCCGGAGTCCCATCAGACTCCCCTCTCTTCCAAGTGCACAAGTATGTGCCCTCGGCAGAGATGGCACAGGCAGAAGCACAGGTTGCTGCCGAGGATGAAGCCCCTACGCCGATGCAGATCTCGACTGATGCTCCTGAGACGGTGATAGTGGACTTGTCCGAGGACGCTCCGTCGGACCATGCTCCTGAACCTCATGCTGCTCAAGCCGTTCAAGCTGTCCCTGCTGCCGAAGTTCTCCTCTTGCCTGCTCCGGAAGCTTCCCAAGCATTTATCGCTGACTCGCCCTCGGCTGAAGTTCTGGAGGTGCCTGGAGCCCGATGAAGCTGCTTCTCTCTTTTTCCCCTTTTTGATTGTACCCCTTCTGCTTTCCTTTTGTAGCCTTTGGGGACGCAAAGCCCCTATTTTTTGGAAATAAATAACTAGTCTTTTCCTTCTTCTGTCTTCTTCTGTATACAGTAGTGTTTTGCTTTTCTTTACTTCTGTGTAGAATAAATCATAAGTGTTTTTGAACTGTCTTCGGGGCGTGCTGGCCCGTTCCAGAGGCAAGATCTTGTATCAACCTTGGGGACTGGAATGCTTGTGTTTCGCTCCCAGGACCATGTTCTTTATGGATGCTTGTTCCTGCATTCGCTTCGGGGACAGGAGTCCCTGAACTCTGTCCCCAGGGCCGCATCCTTGCAGGAGGCTTGCTCCTGTATGTACTTCGGGGACGAG